CCTTGCTGCTGGGATACGCCACTCCTTTCGCGTCCCTCCCTACCATTCGAGTATACGTGACGCGTACAGTTGACGAAGCGTTGTCAAACATACACAAGAATTAATCACTCGTTCACATCTGAATGCACACCACGTGATTTATTCCGCAATAAATAAGCTGCCTTTTCTATCGCTGTTAAAATAATTGACAGCCAATGACACGTGTCAGTGTACTCAATCTACTAACTCAGAGAGACGTAGAAAAACTGTTTTTGCAAGAAACAAATTTTGCTGGTTTGGTTCGTACGTAATTCAGCTTCAGCACTGCACAGTGAATACTGTGATATTTTATTATTTCTAAAGTAATCAGTTTGTACACACAAATATGAATAATAACGTTGGAGATAAATTTTTAAGAAGAACACACTTTTTATTCGTGCATTTGCTTCGATCTTACTCCATTCCCTGTCCACAAAATTCCGGTTCTGACAACTGTTACGTTTCATACTCCAAAAGCCTGCGCCTGCCTTCACTTGCAGCGAACTGGAGCGATTCGCGTAGATCAAACATCAAAATATTTGATCTCGTCAATAGCTTCCCGTCAAAGGACAGGGCCACTTTAATATTTCCGCGTCGCCAACGCCCCCGAGTATCATCACACATAAGAACGCAGTTGGGGAGACACAAGCGTGAGGATAAATTTTCAATACGTGAGCTTGGAAATTTTAAAAGCCAATTATCCTCAAAACCTTGGACTGATCTTGTCGTGATCTTCAGGTGACGCTGACCTATCCATGACCTCAAACCCACATAAATATGTTCATCCAGTTTCATGTAGATCGGCAGAAATAGGAGTTTGGAAAAATGACTGACGGATGACCTTGACAGAGTCCCAAAACCAAACTGAAATGTTCTTCGCGTCTGGCCCATCCAAACCCGTTCTCCCTGCAGTAAGGCCCGCTCACGTCCGATGGTCCTCTGCTGCTGTTAATCAAGTTTTAACTGAGGAACTTTCAAAGAATGCACAAGCCAGAAACAATGTCAGTTGCATAATCGTGGCGCCAGCCACGCCAAACTACGTGTCTTTAACAACGGTACACAGCGCATGCGCAGCTCTGCCAGACCCTCGCGCGTTGTTCAGTGAAACCTGCATGTCACGGAATCGGGGCAGGTTCCGTCTCTGGCAGGTACTGGATCGCCTGTATGATTTCCTATTCATCCGTCTGAGCCAGCCAAAGAAAGAAAGAACGAAGTTCTGCCAAAGTGGGGCGTTAAGAAGCCTCGATCCGGGAGCGTGCGCCCCACGGCGCGTTCTGAATGTTCC